TAAAAATTCAAATTTAGTGGTTTGATATGATAGATAACGGTTATATTTTTCATTTTAATGAGGAAATAATGAGAAATAAAGAGGGGCTAAACATGTTCGCAGAAATTAAGTTAGAATAGATAGGTGAATTGCCCCCCGGGGCATAACCCAATGGTGTAAAGGATAGGAGTGAAGTTATCTCACGCCTTGCTGGTAGTTGCAGTGTGGAGGTTCGATTCCTGAGTTATGGAATTGGACTCATTGTAGACGCAGTGTACAGACAGCTCTTGTTCCCTTATCTATTAGGGCACATCCCGCGATTTACCTACCTTCTTCACAAGACTCTATGGACGGGGCGGTGGAGGCCCTCAAGATTGGAGTTCAACCTTTAAAATAGATAGGAGAATTTGTTACTAAAAAAAATGAACTTTTAAAATATATCTTATAAAATCAATTTATTAGTTTTTAGGATGACACGCGCTTTATTTGAAAATTTAAGAAATTATTTTATAATAATTTATTTTATTAAATTTGATTATTTAGTTAATTGAATAATTTTATGTCAATATATTATCAAGTAATATATATGTTATAAAGTTGGTAATCTTACAATATTTTTTCTTGCTATAAAAGTAAAACAAAACAAATTATATATTGAGTTGACAAAATATTGATAATAAAAAATAAATTAATGACTGAATTATTGATAATAAAAAATAAAAATTAATGACTGAACTATGAATTTTTATTTGTGTTCATTTAATTATAAGTTCTTAAGATTTGTATGCAATAATCATTAGGTGTTTGAACTATTTTTATTTTTCAGACTTCATATATATTTTTAGAATTTATTATTTCAGAATTCCATATTTTAATTTTCAGAATTCTTATTTTTTAGAATTGGGTTAATTTCACAAACGATCACTGAACTTAGCTGAAAATCTCAAAACGGTCATTGAAGTTTAAAATTTGCAACAACGGTCACTGAAGTTACATTTTCTTTCAAAAACGGACACTGAAGGTCCATTATGCTTTTCATTCAAACTTGAAGGACCAAACATGTGAAAACACGTGAAAATCAAACCTTAAGGACCAAATCCCTCTTTAGACAATTTTTCCTCCCTTTCCAGCTTTCTTCTCCAGCGCCGATGGATTTAAAGCCAAAATCGACCACCCTACTTCTGGATAAACCACCAGACTTTTACACCACCAACACCTCTCATCCCCTTCCACAATCTTATACCAACAATCAATCAAAACAAATAAAAAATCATGGCGAAATTCAGGTTCGAAAAACCATATCCACCATCATCCATGCCAAAACTCCATCACAGGCTGTTAGTACTCCCCAAGACGAACAGGTATATGGTCCCATACCATCACAAAACAGTTTAAATCAAAATCTAACCCGTTCCAGTTCGAAGGGAGCGACAACAAACTTTCCTCCCCAATTTTCGGTGCCGGCCCGGCGTTAACAATTATAGTCGCCCACCACCACCATTACCTTCTACTCAACATGGCAAACAAGATGCACATATAGGTCCTCACCAATTTATCTCAAATTGGTCGGAATTGGAGGTAAAACCATGGGTGGGGATGATTTTTTTGAACATGAATTTCATGTTTTTGATGTGCTTTGGTTGATTGTTGATATAGGATTGTAGAGGGGGGATGATGATGTGTTGGTGGTGTAAAAATCAGGTGGTTTATCCGGTGGTACGATGGTCGAATTTGACAAATTACAACTCCGGCAAAATATGGTGAAAGTGGGAGAAATTTGGCTTGATTTCTAAATTTTAGGGGCAGATTTTAAGCAAATGAAATTAGATGAAATTTACATTTGAGGTCCTCAAGGATCCAATTCACGTGTTTTGGTCCATCAGTGATCGTTAGTGAAAGCGCCCGTAAGTTCAGTGACCGTTGCTACAAGTTTTAAACTTCAATGACCGTTTTGAGATTTTCGATTAAATTTAGTGACCGTTTGTGAAATTAACACTTTTAGAATTTATCCAATTTTTATTTTTTTTAAAGAATTTTAAGAATTTAGAATTACAAGTTTTTGTTTTCTAAAATTCTTTACTTCTAAAATTTATGTAAATAAGATTTTATTTAGATGTTCATTTCATGTTTTGAGTGTTTTCAAAATTTTCACTGGAAATACTTAAAACGGCAAAAATGTGTTTTAAGTTTTATGTTATAAGTTTAAATTTGGTTTTGAAAATGTGTTTTTTGAAAATTTCAAATCAAACAAGTTTTAAGTGTTTTGCAAAATTGAAAACAACTTGAAAGTAGTAATCCAAACATATCCTTAATGATTCTGTTACTAATGGATTCCTTACGATCTCGCTACTACTTATATGTTATTGGAACATTTGGACATCATTATCGAGCAAAGCTTGCCGTATAGGAGGGGATTCGACAATCATTAGCACTATGAAGAATTAAGTCAGTCGTTAAAAAAATTGGAAAAATTTGGCGTGGGAGTGTGAAAATGTCAAACAAACAGTTTTGCTTTTGGTTTGAAGTAGCTTACCTTCTTTTTGAACCATTCATGAGTATTTCTGGGTAAATTTGTGTTAAAGAAGTCAAGTACTGATTGAGTCATTGTCACCATTGTTTATCATGTTCTTAAAAATAGAATTAAATGGGCTTCTTAAAGTATTTTTTTTTTTCGACAAATATATAAAAATTAAAATGGTTACTTATTAGATAAATCCTAGTGTAATGAGGCTCCAACTCCTAAAATTGTCATAACACACGAAGAAACCAATATGCTCTCAACGATCGAACATTCTGAAGCTCGCCTCTTATATTTATTTAGTTTCATGAAAGGTTCATCCAAAGTTAAAGTTTGGCCAAATGTTCATCTCCATGCGAAGAATCTACCAACTACAAGATGATATTGCCACATATACAAAGTTGACAAATCATGTTATCAATAACGTCACGACAATGTTAGGCGAGGCATGTCAGGGTTAAGCGAAGCCGCCACAAGGTAGAAGAGCAATTGATTGTGTAATATCTACTTTTTTAGACGGTTGTAGAGCCGGTACTCTGATTCAATATGACCTTGCTTAATTACAGGAAATTCTTTAAAAAATACAAAATATAATAACATTGAGGCCCTGTTTGGCACCCATTTTTATCAAAATGCATTTTTCTCTCTCTTCTTTTCAACCACACATTATTTATTAAAATAATATTACACGTAAATCAAAAACTTTTTCTTATTTTTCAATCACACATTTCCCATCAATTTACTATTCAAAAATACATTTTTACATAAAAATTCCTACCAAACACCCTCTGAATAAAACAAAAAAGTAAACAGCCACCCACACGCATATAAATTCTTAAATTTCAATAGAGTCAATGACTCCAATACCCCCCCACCTCCATTTTTCCACACGAGAATCTCAACTCTTTACAACTAATAACGCGTTGTTCGTGTCATAACCAAAAAGCAAAAAGAGATATAAAATAATAATAATAATAATAAATAAATAAATAAAAAGAAAAAAATGGAAAGAAAGAAAAAGGTATAAATTACTGAAACGCAACACTCACTTTACATGTCTAATTATCGACACAATTTTATATGCATATTTAGTTAATATTACACCTCTTAAATTCGTCATGTCATTTATTTCCTAGTCCATCTAGACGTACAATGTTTAACTACCATAGAAAATTTGTAGTGCAATCTACCTGTGAGTTGTGGAATGAATCCACTCAATTAAGTGAAAAATTTAGAATACGTTTGGTTTGCCATTTGAATGCCATTTTTCAGTTTTTGATTTTTTAAAATATCCAAAACGTGTTTGGTATGTTATTTTCAAAATGTGTTTTCGAAAATAAGGAAAATTTTACAATATTAAAATTTCGATACAATTATTGAAGATATACTTAATATGATTCATTTTTACCAACTTTACAATTTATATTTTGTGATCACATATTAGCATGAAATTGTTATGTTTTTACTAAATAATCAAATTAATTTTTTTTTTCATAAGACTTTTTCTAAAATTTTTAAACAAGAAGCATTTTTAAGTTTCTTGTTTTGAGAAATAGTTTTTTAGAATGGCAAATTAAATGCGTTTTCTACAATTTTAACATAATCCCTTAAGACGGAAAATAAATTCACAATTGAAAACAAAAAACGAAAATACAAAACAAACGCACCCTAAGGCCCTGTTTAATTGGTTCGAATTCCATGGAAAATGGAAATCGAATTCCACCATTTTCCAATTTTGTGTGTTTGATATGTTTTATTTTTCATGGAATTGTATTTTCTTGCTTGTATTGGGAATTCGTATTTTCTTGATTTTCAAGGAAAACCAATTCCTTGAACTGTAGCATTTTTTTTTATTGCATTGCACTTTTTGCTGGCTTCCACCTTACATTAATCAATTAAGCACTTTTTATTATGTATGTAAAGTTCGACTTCTCCATAATGAATATTAAAGAGAAACCAGCTTGATGTAATATTTCACCAACTTTAACTGTAATTGAAATTAAGCTATTGTTTAACCCTATTTTTTCGTTCAAAATATAATCTTTAACAGTAATTTGTCATTATTTTAATTACATATTTTTTAGTAAAATAATATTACATGTAAATTTAAAACTTTTATTTTTTATTTTTTAACCACACATTCAATATTATAACACTATTTCAAAATGCATGTTCGGGGAAAAATGGACATTAAACAATATTTTCTTACTTTTTCATAACACATTTTTTAAAAACAATAATTTTCATAAAAAATTTTCTCAAAAAAACTACATCAAACACGTCATTAGTTATTTATAACGATCTCGACCTTGAAACTTTGCAATTTCCATGCCGGGACCGAGCTTGAATTTTGAACAATTGACCAACAACTCCCCAAGCACTATGCACATGTTGCCAATTTCTCTCTCAATCCACGTGTCATATTCTCATTGGGTCAACAAAAGTCCACTCCCAAAAGCCCCCCACACCCCCTCACGTCTATTTAACCCTCCCAAGATTAGCAAATTCTTCTTGTATCTTATTTTAGCCATGGCCTTTTCTATGTCATTCTTTTTCATTGTCACGGCTTTGCTTATCTCACCGGCCTATTCCCTCACCTGCACGTCACAAAACGTTACACAGAAAAACACACGATTCACAAACTGCAGCGATCTCCCGGTACTCAAGGCCTATCTCCACTGGACCTATGACCCAGCTGCCATGCCCAAACCCACTCTCTCAGTCGCATTCATTGCCCCTCCGGCCAAGCCCGAAGGCTGGGTTGCCTGGGCTCTGAACCCAACTGGCAAGGGCATGGCTGGGTCACAAGCACTCGTTGCATTCAAGGACTCCAATGGATCTATGGTTGTCAAAACCTACAATATCTCGTCGTACAGCTCTATAGTCGAGTCGAAGCTATTTTACGACGTGTTGGACAAGAAGGCGGAATTTTCCGGCGGGGCGATGAGGATATTCGCCAAACTTGCTTTGCCCAGTGACGCGACGGAGTTGAATCAGGTTTGGCAGGTGGGTTCTGCGGTGAAAGGTGGGATGCCAGAAAAGCATGATTTTGGGCCGGATAATTTGAATTCAAAAGACACATTGTCGTTGGTGAGTGAGGCCACCGCATCATCTCCTGCACTGGCTCCGTCACCGTCGCCGACTGCTGGGAGTGGGAGTGGGAATGGACGGCAAAACGGGAATGATAATGGGAGTTCGAGGATTGGGGTGTATGGGGCTTTGGTGCTACTACTGGCGATTCCACTAATCCACTTCTAGAGTTTTAGATTTTAGGGTTGTGATTTTTCATATACATTGGAATAAAAAATTAGGAGGTGAAATATTATTTACATATTCCACTTATTTAATTAGAGGGTAAAAAGGTAATTTTACTTGTTTGGTTAAAATTACACTTAAATTGAGCATGATATCTTTGGATGTTTCGTGATATTTTGTACCACAACTTTTTTGTGCAATACAAGCATGATTTGTGTGATATCGACTTTACGGGAATGAACAAGATTAGGAAGGAGGGATGAGATGAATGATTTGTTCATGCGTATTAAATTTGACATGTAACTTGTAAAAATATTTTTCAAAAATTAATTATTTTATTTTTTCTATTAAAAATAAACTAAATTGATACACAAATGCGCTGGTGACATCATAATCATATGTGCAGATGTTTCAATAGATCCGGGACAAGAATTTTCGCGACAATCACTTTGTATGATTTCATTTTATTTGCTCTTGAAGTTGAGGAGATTTTTAAAATTGTAAATTAAGTAATAATATTTGCAATCGATCATTGTCGTACATGTGGTAGTTAGTGATTTAATACATTAATATGATAATTTTTTAATATTTTATGCAACAAATTATTAATCGTCATATGTATGTTACGTAGAACGACTGCAATAATTAGCGATGACAAATAACATTATTCTTGTAAATTACAAGGGACAATTAAGGCGGTGGCATGCAGAAAAGAAATTCATAATTAATGTCTTTATTTCCATACTTTGAGTTGGCTGTAAAAAAAATTGGTTCCTTGAGATCCCAAATATTTGTTAATCCTTTAATTAGGTGCTCATTTTTCCAACTTTCATTAACTTCAATTTTGTCTTTAAATATTGCTAATAATCCACCTCACATGCTTGGCAACATGAACTTTAAAGTATTAGAAAATAAATAATTAAAAAGATAAAGAATAAACATCTTGTATGTTATCACGTGGCTTACTGTGTAAAGTCGATTCTTTTTGGATTGATGCTTGAGCAGTTAATGAAGATGGACTGTAAATTCATTGGCAGATATGTCTACTTTGGTTCAAATTTTAGCTCGTCCCAATAATTTATCAATCTACCATGAGATGGTACAAATCCATTGTCCTTTCAAAATATCTTATATATGAAATAAGAAAAAAACAAAAAAATTACTTACGGTTAGATTTTTGATTTCCTTGGGACGGTAGTTTAATTTTTCTATGAAGAACCTAAAAACAGTTGAGCAACCGTCCAAAGCACTAAAAATAAATAAAAATTGGTTGAGCGACTTTTTCCGAGAGACAAACGTTGTCCAAGGTCATAATGCATTGAAAAAATATAATCAAATAGTTCTAGTCAAAGTTGAACCCGAAATTCCAGATGGGTTGAAAAATAAAATAAAATATTTATCGGTCATTTTCAACAATACTGGACAAAACCCACACCTCGAGTAAAAATTTACTCCGTATCCCCATTTATTTTTTTCTTTCACTAGCAAAAGGGGACAAAGGCCGCTGCAGATAGATAGAAAAGTTGTTGGGTGTGAAAGATTAAAGAATAATTGAAAACTAATTTCAAAAGAGGCCAAATTTATATTTCTTTAGACCACGGGATAGATTCATAGAAATTTCAAGACACTAATTTCCATGCGCTAATGCCAATATTTGGTCTTCTTTAAAAAAGGACGTTGTGCGGAAAAAAGTGGATGTATTGCAGTATTGTACTACTATATTAGATTCATTTAAAAATTTTACGACATAGACATTGATCCTGTACAAGCTAAAACTCTCTAATCTCTCCCAATTTTCGGAAAAAAAATGTTTTTTCATTTGATTTTACGTTAAACTTTAAAATTCACTTGTATAAGATAGTTCAACTTTGGCAAACTCTTTGAACTTGCAAATGGGATGGGCATGGTCCAGTTTTTCTGAGATTTGGATGGAACCAAGCATAACTTGGCATCTTTTATAAAAATCCATTGATTATTCAAAATCCTACTGAGGAAAAGGTTTGAAGGGAAGGATTCATTAAGTTTTCACAAGGATTTAGGATTCAAAAAAACTTGAACTATAACGAGGCATTCAAGGGCACATCATCTTGTTCAATAAATATTTATAGAAAAAGGAAATCGATCATATTCTCAAATTCAACGTTAGATTCAAAAACTGATTAGCTCCTGAATAAATCAACTCTCATCAATTTTAACCTTCCCTACTCACTAACACCAATACAATCGATAAGACTAAATATCGTGACTACAAATATTCCATGTTGTCCCATTACATAAATAGCACGAGTGGGGAGAAATATGATGGTCTAGACATTATTGGTCCCTTTAGCATGCCGTGGATAATGAGGCAATCTAAAACTCTTCTTAGCTATCAACATATTTCGACTTTTTTTGGTTGACAATGGCAATTATTATCTTGTTCGTAATTATGTTTGTATCCTAATCATTTTAATTTTTCAAATCAAATGAGTGAATACGTACATACATTTTTAATTGATATCGCAATTAAAAAAAAAAAAAACTCGCATGGTTAATTTTGAAATAATTATGGCCGGCCCATAGGCGGAATTATTTGACCTCCAATGTGTAAGAACTACCTATTGGGATACAAAAATTATTTAATATCAAGATTACTGTTATGAACTCATAGCTTCTTTTTTGTTGGACAATGATAATTATTGTTTTGTTACTAATAATATTTGTGTCCTAATCATTTTAAAGACAGTTTGGCAACAAATTCATATATAATTGACATCAAACATTACTTTTAACTGTATATACATAATTATCATTTATTTATCCACATTTTTTTAGGGTCTTAAATTAACTTACATAGTTACTTTTCAAAATTGAAATGATTATGGTTAGTCCAAGAGCATGATTATTTGGCCCCAATGTGTACAATTTACCTATATTCTAATGGCAATTGACAAAGTCTTGTGATCAAGAACAGTTATTAATGTCAATATTATTAACGTCGTTTTTCATTTTTGATAACAGACAAGCACGGAATGCGTATTTTATAATTTTTTTCCTTTATGAGAAATGCGTTAACCTTTTTTTTCTCTTCAATGAACAAGATATAGTGCATGTTTGGCAAAGCTTATAAGTGATTATAAATTAATTAAAATATGATTTTATCCAATGTTTGAGTCGATAAATGTATTAAAGCGTTCAATGGTTTGCTGCCTCAACCATCACGAGACTTTGAAGATGAAAATCTTCAGCGAGGCACACGCGGACCTCAGGAACCTCTATAATATGACCCACAAAGTTTGTTGATCTTTTGAAAGTAGACGGTGTTCTTATTTTGAATAATTATGAAGAAAAGTTATTAGCACTTAATCTTAGAGTATTAATTAAAAAGTCGTAGCTTAAGATTAAACTAAGAGGATACGTAGAATTTGAGAGGGTAAACAGCCGTGAATTTAGGCACGTGCGGGCTCCAAAACCTAGCATGTGAAAATGAAAATATGAATTGATTTTGAATCCTTTACAAATCCCTATAAATTCGAGAAGAAAAAACATATTGAAAATGGGTTCCTTTATTTGGAACCAAAGAAAGTTGCTAATAAATAATAATTGAAAGTACAATAATACAAATCTTATCCGTCACGAGTTCGATTAGTCGAAGTCACTTTTCTACGCTTTAATACAATTTGATTCAACTTAAAAATTGTTATTAATATATTACTCGTATTATCCATAGGCTCGACTGCAAAGATTTCAATAGGTTCGAATGTGCCTTCTCCCACTCTAAAGTTGAAATAAATAAATAAATCTCAATATAACATTTATGCACAATTTGTGTTGGGTCCAACGATTTTGAAGAATCCTTTGAGTGATGAGAGTCGTGGGGTCACATGTCAATTGATATCATAAAGTGGATTCAAAGTCCCATTTTTATATTTTCGTCATCCAGACATCATAATGACGCATATAAATAATTATAAAGTTTAATTACTGTAGTTAATCTCCAAGATCAACGGGAAAAAGTGGGTTCCAAATATTAAAGTCAACGTGTCATAATCTTCAATTCGTAGAAGAAAATTAGTTTAAGATATTAATATCCTAAGATGTGAAAATTATTGTTTGCCAAATTATTTGGGATACCCACGTACTCGGTACTAGGAGTGGGATTAATGATTGTATTTGATTGAACAAAGTGACCGAGCTTTTGATAGAAATTGATAAGATTTTGATAAAGTTTTATCAAACAAGCACGTAGTATGTAAAAGTATTATAATTTTGACAATCAAATGAATTTTTTTACTACATCTTAGCGAAATTTTTGGATGAAAACCTTTATCAAGGACAATACATGCTAATTAATGATAGTTTGGAGATAAAAACAAGATGAAAAAAGTTAGGATATAAGCATGGTCGATATTATGAGCAATGGGGAGGGAAAATCCAGTGGTGTTGAGCACAATTTAGGTGACATACGAGTGTTATTTATTGATTAAACATCTAAAAAGTAAGAGAA